AGTGAAACTTGACTTCAGTTGTTTTGATAGTTCAGCTGGTCCATTGATCACTTTGGAGTGGCTTCTGAGATGTCCCTTACCTGGCTTTATGGCTTTCAAACATCATTTAAAAGTCCCAGTCAGGGTTTTAAAATCTTAAATGAAGTGTAATCAATGGCGAATTTCATACATTGTGGAAAGAGAATAATCACAGTTGGCAAACTGAAAAAACTGAAGATAGAGAACATAAGAACGGCCAGACTGGGTCAGATCAATGGTCCGTCCCAGTGTCCTGACTTCTGATAATGGCCAGCGCCAGCGGCTTCAGAAGGAGCTAACAGAACAGAGCAATTTATTGAGTGATCAATCCGCTGTTGTCCAGTCCCGGCTTCTGGTAGTCAGAGGCTTAGGAACACCCAGAGCCTGGGGTTGCATCCCTGACCATCTTGGCTAATGGCCAATAATGGATGTATCCGCCATGATCTTATCTAGTTGTTTTTTGTCCTCTACTTATCTAGTATCATTGCAAACTACTTTCACACTGCTCTACCTCAATCCTGCCGGACAGGTGTCACCACTGAAATGATACTGTAGTCCAGTCTCGGTTGGTCATTCAGTCCTTGATCTATCTGCTGAGACTGCAAAGAAAGAAAGAATGCTGAAAGTAAAAAAGGTGATACATAAAATATATATAAATAAAATATAATGGATTACTGTAAAGAACTAGGAAATACAATATTTAGGAAGGAAAATTTCATGGGATTTAAACTCTTTCTTTGAATATAGTTTTAGACACTAGACCAAAATTGCAGACTATTATTTTTGAGATACAGAATGTGTCCTTTGTGAAGGACCTGATCCAATGCCCACTGAAGTTATATGAAGATTCCAGTGGAAACTGGATTAGATCCAGTGGAACCCCTGGCATTTTTCCATTGACTTTGGTGGGAATTGGACTAGCCCCTTGTAGCATAACCCAGTTCTGGGTAAAGAATAAACCTGCTGGACTTAAAATGAACTCTGTTAAAACACATATAATTAGTTGGTCAAATTTATTTCTGAAATAAGTGGGGAAACTGCCTTCTTTTCTCTCTCTCCCTCATGCATCTCCATGAAACCAGCAATGTCCAAAAGTCTCGCCCTTTTCTTCTCCCACACGCACCCACAAACACACAGGGCTACTCCCTTTGAATTGATATATTATTGGCAATGGTGGGCCTGTGTGTTTACTTAGGGTATGTCTACACTACGAAATTAGGTCGAATTTATAGAAGTCGGTTTTTTAGAAATCGGTTTTATATATTCGAGTGTGTGTGTCCCCACAGAAAATGCTCTAAGTGCATTAAGTGCATTAACTCGGCGGAGCGCTTCCACAGTACCGAGGCTAGAGTCGACTTCCGGAGCGTTGCACTGTGGGTAGCTATCCCACAGTTCCCGCAGTCTCCGCTGCCCATTGGAATTCTGGGTTGAGATCCCAATGCCTGATGGGGCTAAAACATTGTCGCGGGTGGTTCTGGGTACATATCGTCAGCCCCCCGCTCCCTCCCTCCCCCCGTGAAAGCAAGGGCAGACAATCATTTCGCGCCTTTTTTCCTGAGTTACCTGTGCAGACGCCATACCACGGCAAGCATGGAGCCCGCTCAGGTAACCGTCACCCTATGTCTCCTGGGTGCTGGCAGACGCGGTACGGCATTGCTACACAGTAGCAGCAACCCCTTGCCTTGTGGCAGCAGACGGTACAGTACGACTGGTAGCCGTCATCGTCATGTCTGAGGTGCTCCTGGTCGCCTCTGTGAGGTCGATCAGGAGCGCCTGGGCAGACATGGGCGCAGGGACTAAATTTGGAGTGACTTGAGCAGGTCATTCTCTTTAGTCCTGCAGTCAGTCCTATTGAACCGTCTTATGGTGAGCGGGCAGGCGATACGGACTGCTAGCAGTCGTACTGTACCATCTTCTGCCGAGCAGCCATGAGATGTGGATGGCATGCAGTCCTTCTGCACCGTCTGCTGCCAGCCAAAGATGTAAAAGATAGATGGAGTGGATCAAAACAAGAAATAGACCAGATTTGTTTTGTACTCATTTGCTTCCCCCCCTCCCCTGTCTAGGGGACTCATTCTTCTAGATCACACTGCAGTCACTCACAGAGAAGGTGCAGCGAGGTAAATCTAGCCATGTATCAATCAGAGGCCAGGCTAACCTTCTTGTTCCAATAAGGACAATAACTTAGGTGCACCATTTCTTATTGGAACCCTCCGTGAAGTCCTGCCTGAAATACTCCTTGATGTAAAGCCACCCCCTTTGTTGATTTTAGCTCCCTGAAGCCAACCCTGTAAGCGCCCCTCCCAGCGTCAGAGCAATGGCAAACAATCGGGCATCTGAGAGTGCTGTCCAGAGCAGTCACAATGGAGCACTCTGATGGGGCTAAAACATTGTCGCGGGTGCTTCTGGGTACGTGTCGTCAGGCCCCCGTTCCCTCCCTCCCTCCGTGAAAGCAAGGGCAGACAATCATTTCGCACCTTTTTTCCTGAGTTACCTGTGCAGACGCCATACCACGGCAAGCATGGAGCCAGCTCAGGTAACCGTCACCCTATGTCTCCTGGGTGCTGGCAGACGCGGTACGGCTTTGCTGCACAGTAGCAGCAACCCATTGCCTTGTGGCAGCAGACGGTGCAATACGACTGGTAGTCGTCCTCGTCGTGTCCGAGGTGCTCCTGACCACGTCAGCTGGGAGTGCCTGGGCAGACATGGGCGCAGGGACTACATTTGGAGTGACTTGACCAGGTCATTCTCTTTAGTCCTGCAGTCAGTCCTATTGAACCGTCTTATGGTGAGCAGGCAGGCGATACGGACTGCTAGCAGTCGTACTGTACCATCTTCTGCCAGGCAGGCAAGAGATGAGGATTGCTAGCAGTCGTATTGTACCATCTTATGCCAGGCAGGCAAGAGATGAAGATGGCTAGCAGTCGTACTGTACCATCTTCTGCCGAGCAGCCATGAGATGTGGATGGCATGCAGTCCTTCTGCACCGTCTGCTGCCAGCCAAAGATGTAAAAGATAGATGGAGTGGGTCAGAACAAGAAATAGACCAGATTTGTTTTGTACTCATTTGCCTCCTCCCCTGTCTAGATCACACTGCAGTCACTCACAGAGAAGGTGCAGCGAGGTAAATCTAGCCATGTATCAATCAGAGGCCAGGCTAACCTCCTTGTTCCAATAACAACGATAACTTAGGTGCACCATTTCTTATTGGAACCCTCCGTGCAGTCCTGCCTGAAATACTCCTTGATGTACAGGCACACTCTTTGTTGATTTTAGCTCCCTGAAGCCAACCCTGTAAGCCGTGTCGTCAGTCGCCCCTCCCTCCGTCAGAGCAACGGCAGACAATCGTTCCGCGCCTTTTTTCTGTGCGGACGCCATACCAAGGCAAGCATGGAGGCCGCTCAGCTCACTTTGGCAATTAGGAGCACATTAACCACCACACGCATTATCCAGCAGTATATGCAGCACCAGAACATGGCAACGCGATACCGGGCGAGGAGGCGACGTCAGCGCGGTCCCGTGAGTGATCAGGACATGGACACAGATTTCTCTGAAAGCATGGGCCCTGACAATGCATGCATCATGGTGCTAATGGGGCAGGTTCATGCTGTGGAACGCCGATTCTGGGCTCGGGAAACAAGCACAGACTGGTGGGACCGCATAGTGTTGCAGGTCTGGGACGATTCCCAGTGGCTGCGAAACTTTTGCATGCGTAGGGGCACTTTCATGGAACTTTGTGACTTGCTTTCCCCTGCCCTGAAGCGCATGAATACCAAGATGAGAGCAGCCCTCACAGTTGAGAAGCGAGTGGCGATAGCCCTGTGGAAGCTTGCAACGCCAGACAGCTACCGGTCAGTTGGGAATCAATTTGGAGTGGGCAAATCTACTGTGGGGGCTGCTGTGATGCAAGTAGCCCACGCAATCAAAGATCTGCTGATATCAAGGGTAGTGACCCTGGGAAATGTGCAGGTCATAGTGGATGGCTTTGCTGCAATGGGATTCCCTAACTGTGGTGGGGCTATAGACGGAACCCATATCCCTATCTTGGCACCGGAGCACCAAGCCGCCGAGTACATAAACCGCAAGGGGTACTTTTCGATAGTGCTGCAAGCTCTGGTGGATCACAAGGGACGTTTCACCAACATCAACGTGGGATGGCCGGGAAAGGTGCATGATGCTCGCATCTTCAGGAACTCTGGTCTGTTTCAAAAGCTGCAGGAAGGGACTTTATTCCCAGACCAGAAAATAACTGTTGGGGATGTTGAAATGCCTATATGTATCCTTGGGGACCCAGCCTACCCCTTAATGCCATGGCTCATGAAGCCGTACACAGGCAGCCTGGACAGTAGTCAGGAGCTGTTCAACTACAGGCTGAGCAAGTGCAGAATGGTGGTAGAATGTGCATTTGGACGTTTAAAGGCGCGCTGGCGCAGTTTACTGACTCGCTTAGACCTCAGCGAAACCAATATTCCCACTGTTATTACTGCTTGCTGTGTGCTCCACAATATCTGTGAGAGTAAGGGGGAGACGTTTATGGCGGGGTGGGAGGTTGAGGCAAATCGCCTGGCTGCTGGTTACGCACAGCCAGACACCAGGGCGGTTAGAAGAGCACAGGAGGGCGCGGTACGCATCAGAGAAGCTTTGAAAACCAGTTTCATGACTGGCCAGGCTACGGTGTGAAAGTTCTGTTTGTTTCTCCTTGATGAAACCCCCCGCCCCTTGGTTCACTCTACTTCCCTGTAAGCTAACCACCCTCCCCTCCTCCCTTTAATCATTGCTTGCAGAGGCAATAAAGTCATTGCTGCTTCACAGTCATGCATTCGTTATTCATTCATCACACAAATAGGGGGATGACTACCAAGGTAGCCCAGGAGGGGTGGTGGAGGAGGGAAGGAAAATGCCACACAGCACTTTAAGCACAGCACTTTAAAAGTTTACAACTTTAAAATTTATTGAATGACAGCCTTCTTTTTTTTTGGGCAATCCTCTGTGGTGGAGTGGCTGGTTGGCCGGAGGCCCCCCCACCGCGTTCTTGGGCGTCTGGGTGTGGAGGCTATGGAACTTGGGGAGGAGGGCGGTTGGTTACAGAGGGGCAGCAGTGGCAGTCTGTGCTCCAGCTGCCTTTGCTGCAGCTCAACCATACACTGGAGCATACTGGTTTGGTCCTGCAGCAGCCTCAGCATTGAATCCTGCCTCCTCTCATCACGCTGCCGCCACATTTGAGCTTCAGCCCTGTCTTCAGCCCGCCACTTACTCTCTTCAGCCCGCCACTTACTCTCTTCAGCCCTCCACCTCTCCTCCCGGTCATTTTGTGCTTTCCTGCACTCTGACATTATTTGCCTCCACGCATTCGTCTGTGCTCTGTCAGTGTGGGAGGACAGCATGAGCTCGGAGAACATTTCATCGCGAGTGTGTTTTTTTTTCTTTCTAAGCTTCACTAGCCTCTGGGAAGGAGAAGATCCTGTGATCATTGAAACACATGCAGCTGGTGGAGAAAAAAAAAGGGACAGCGGTATTTAAAAAGACACATTTTATAAAACAGTCGCTACAGTCTTTCAGGGTAAACCTTGCTGTTAACATTACATACATAGCACATGTGCTTTCGTTACAAGGTCGCATTTTGCCTCCTCCCACCGCGTGACTACCCCCTCAACCTTCTCCCCTCCCTGTGGCTAACAGCGGGGAACATTTCTGTTTAGCCACAGGCAAACAGCCCAGCAGGAATGGGCTCCTCTGAGTGTCCCCTGAAGAAAAGCACTCTATTTCAACCAGGTGACCATGAATTATATCTCACTCTCCTGAGGATAACACAGAGAGATAAAGAACGGATTTTGGTTGAATGCCAGCAAACATACACTGCAATGCTTTGTTCTACAGTGATTCCCGAGTACGTGTTACTGGCCTGGAGTGGTAAAGTGTCCTACCATGAAGGACGAAATAAGGCTGCCCTCCCCAGAAACCTTTTGCAAAGGCTTTAGGACTACATCTAGGAGAACCGCAAATGCCAGGGCAAAGTAATCCTTTCACATGCTTGCTTTTAAACCATGTATAGCATTTTAAAAGGTACACTCACCAGAGGTCCCTTCTCCGCCTGCTGGGTCCAGGAGGCAGCCTTGGGTGGGTTCGGGGGTACTGGCTCCAGGTCTAAGGTGAGAAACAGTTCCTGGCTGTCGGGAAAACCGGTTTCTCCACTTGCTTGCTGTGAGCTATCTACAACCTCCTCCTCCTCCTCATCTTCTTCGTCCCCAAAACCTACTTCCGTATTGCCTCCATCTCCATTGAAGGAGTCAAACAACACGGCTGGGGTAGTGGTGGCTGAACCCCCTAAAATGGCATGCAGCTCCTCATAGAAGCGGCATGTTTGGGGCTCTGACCCAGAGCGGCTGTTCACCTCTCTGGTTTTCTGGTAGGCTTGCCTCAGCTCCTTCAGTTTCACGCGGCACTGCTTCGGGTCCCTGTTATGGCCTCTGTCCTTCATGCCCTGGGAGATTTTCAGAAAGGTTTTGGCATTTCGAAAACTGGAACGGAGTTCTGATAGCACGGATTCCTCTCCCCAAACAGCGATCAGATCCCGTACCTCCCGTTCAGTCCATGCTGGAGCTCTTTTGCGATTCTGGGACTCCATCATGGTCACCTGTGCTGATGAGCTCTGCATGGTCACCTGCAGCTTGCCACGCTGGCCAAACAGGAAATGAGATTCAAAAGTTCGCGGTTCTTTTCCTGTCTACCTGGCCAGTGCATCTGAGTTGAGAGCGCTGTCCAGAGCGGTCAGAATGGAGCACTCTGGGATAGCTCCCGGAGGCCAATACCATCAAATTGTGTCCACAGTACCCCAAATTCGAGCCGGCAACGTCGATTTAAGCGCTAATCCACTTGTCAGGGGTGGAGTAAGGAAATCGATTTTAAGAGCCCTTTAAGTCGAAATAAAGGGCTTCATTGTGTGGACAGGTGCAGGTTTAAATCGATTTAACGCTGCTAAATTCGACCTAAAGTCCTAGTGTCGACCAGGGCTTAGGGAGTTGTCTGCCCCTGCTAGTGCCTGAAGACAAAGAAAAGGTAATGATGCTATTTTCACCGGTGCTAGCTGATATGGAATCATTAAGAGAACAGATGTTAAGTGGCTTATTCCTTCACCCACTTACTTCCCTGGTCCTTCTCGCATGAACAGAGAGCAACAATACCCAAAGTCCAAAGGTGCAAACAATTCGATGTTTATTGGGGTGAACTTCCAGCAAGCATGATTCCAGTTTCCTTCCTTAGTGTCCCCCTTCCCAGCTCTGACACCACAGAGCCTTACACCTGTGTCCCTGTTCCCATTCCTGCCCTTAGCCAAACATGATTCCAATTTCCCCACTCCCATTCCCTGTTCCCATTTCCCCCTTTAGCAAAACATGATTGCAATTTCCTTACCCCCCATTCCCTGTTCCCATCCTGCCCCCACCCCCACCCCCACTCTCTTCCTGATTGACTGCAGACTATATAGTAAAACTTGAGTTCGGCTTAGCTATACCTTAACCAATCATTTTCCTGAAATTTAACTAACCAATCCTAACATATTGTAACATGATTATGTAACCAATTATATCCCACCACCTTAATTAGTTTACCCCCAGCAAAATTAATTATACAGCAGACAGGAACAATCACAGAACCAGACAGAGATTATACAGACAAACAATAGCAAAGTGGGAACTATAATCACAAAACAATACAGAAGTGATGATTTCACATCCCAGCTATTGATAAGTGAGTTCTTGCCAGACAGGATGCTATCAAACTAAGTTTCCTTTTACATTTTCTAGGCAATCCCTTTCTCTGGAGGTGATAGGCATTATCAGGACAGGATTGTATTCCTAAGAGCCCAGTAGCACCTTCTTTCAATGTGACTAGTTTGGAATGTGAGGATGTGACCGGTCGCTTCCCAGCTTATGGCTGCCTCTGTTGCTTAGCCAAAGGCCTTAGCCTAAGCACAGGGCCTCAGACTGTCACAGTAAGAGAAGGCCCTTACACCGGCAGACAGTGATTTTGATTCTTTCTTTTATATCTCTAGAACTAGCCAAGTGATAAGAATACATCTAAATTCTTAGAGTACAGGCCTTTACAGACAGGCCTGAATATCTATATCCTAGATGGAACATAGATGGAACTTACCCATTTTTATAGAGTAATTTTTCACAATACGACCACACTGTATTGGTGAAGTCTAGTGAAGTCTAGCTGAAATAAAGAACAGTTGTAACTGGGAACCAGGAGACCTAGATTCTATCCCCCACTTTTCCAATGATCCATTTTGTGACAATTCACACAATTCATACACCCTCTCTGTGCTAGTTTCCCCATACATCTTTATATCAGGGAGACTAAGACTTACCCAATTTATGCATTCAAAGACATAATAATCAGTCGTTTTAATTCCAGGAGTTATTTAATGGGCTATTTTGGAGGCAGTAGCCAAAAACTGTGAGGTGCAGTAGCTGAGTGGTTCAGGTGTTCAACTAAAATCCTGCAGGGTATGGGGTTTGGGCTCAATAAATCTCACACTAAAAGGCCACTTCCAGTTTACCCAGCTGTCAAATGGGTACCTGATCTATCAGGTTAGGGCAGTCAAAGGTGGTCACCTGTGATGCTGACCCCATAAGGCCCTGGTGTTCTGTTGGCTATGAAACTGATATGCATTAACCGTGCGAGCCTATTGAGACATTGACTTGGGAGAACTTTGACTTTGACCTAGAAAGTTGATCTATTCATTGGTATTCAGCCAGTACTTGTGGGTTGCCAGGATATGGATATTTCTGTCCAGGTTCATCTTAAAGCTATGTGGGTGTTTGGGGATGGAGATACAGAAAGTAAAATGTAAAGAGTAGGAAAGAACAGTAGAGTCTTTCCTTATATCCATTTCTGCTAATAAAGACAAATTGAAATTATGTCTGTGTATTAAAAATTAAAACTCGCATTTGTATACGCTAGAGAGTTCATTAGTACATAATAGATATTTGCGAAGTGAGCAATTTTAATCTTTTCAGGGTGGACTAAAGTGCTTACAACATATCAGGCCCAAAATTCAGATAAAGCAGTTTACCATGGTGTGGCATGTAGATATGGAATCACTGAAGTCACAACGCATATTTCTGTCCAGTGTTTCCCACACCTATGGCAAGATATAAAAGTTACAGGTCTCTGCAATTTTTTTCCATTTCATCCACAACTTCTTGTTCTTATCCAAAAGAAAAATGAACACAGTTGTGAGTATATTTGTCCTTTATTGTAGTTGTAATTATTTTAAGAAGCTACTATTTATATAAAAATGTGAATTCTTTTTGACGAGAAGCAAGAGTGTTCAGTGAAGTTAGCACTGTTTTGAGAATAATTATGTTTCATGTTTCATTTGCTGGTACAATAAGAAGGTACTGTCCTGCATTCTTTGTGCTGCAATAATCTCCTTGAAATCAATGGGAATCATTCATTAACAAGGGATTCAGGATTGAGCCCAAATTTAAGCATGTTTCATTGCTAATTTTTGTTATAATTTTTTAGAGGAATCAAGAAATATGTTTGGAAGCAATCAGTGTAATTTTTGAATAGCAAGAAAAATGTAACTTCTCAAAAGGAAAAGTATTGTGTTATTTTCTGAATGAAATCATTAAGAAAACTGAATTTACAAATTTTTTACACAGACAAAAGTTTGAGAAATGTCTCAGACAAAGTCAGACAAGGAATGGCAAAATGCACATGAACATTACTGTCTGGTAGAAAATATTTAGCAAGTTGCATTTTTTAAATTTAGACTTTGGACTGGATTTTGTAATATTTTATCTCGTAAAATAGGCCTCAAGCAAATATGGGAATCTAGGAAATACCGTACGATATCTGACCTGTGGTCATAGTTGTACCATATCTCAGACAGTGACCAGCACCAGATTTATCCAGAGGAAGGTACAAGAATTAGGGCAATTAGGGAATCATCAACCCACCAGATATAAATATCCCAAATTCAGTGGGAGATCAAAATCTGGATATGCTTCTCGTTCCAATGGAAAGGGGCAGGGATTTTTAGTTGTAAGTTTTTTAGAGACCATCTAAAAGTTTTTGCTTGTTTTTGTTAATGCATATTTAATGTCAATGACTAACATTCTGGAGGAAGAAAGTGTTTGTTAAATACCTTCTTCCCTTCGGCTGAGGCGTGAGAGCTGATGTACTTTGAGACCCCACCAACAGGTCCTCCAACAAAACTAGGGAACAGTAGGTTTGGGGTTCCTAATATTTCTAAGACAAAAACACAAGTATCAAAACAATCACAAAGTAGATAGCCAGATAGCTAGATAGATTCTGTAATACCATAAAAAAGTAAACAAGTTCACAAGTAGAATTCTTTTAAAATTCCTTTTTGGGTTCCCTTTAAGATTAAGCAGTTTTTATAAAGTTTCACAGTGATACAAGCAAAATGAAACGTAACCAGGAGAAACTTACAATTGGAAAATGTAATTATTTTCAGATAATCCACTTGCAGTGCAAAGTGGATCATTTTTCAAACCTTGGGAATAAAATAGCTTCCCTTGATTCATTAATTCTGCAAGCTCTGAGTTTTGGCCTGGACTCTGTCCATGTGTCATGGTGGTTTTTAGTGTTTCTGTTGCATATGAATGCTGTTATTTCTTTTTCAGGCTACAGTAATTGCTGTGCTGGGAGTCTTTTGGACTCAAGCTTTTTCATATGAAGTAAGTAGACTGCCAATGCTTTGTACTGCCTAGTATTCATTTGCAATGCATTAGGTCCCTGGAGAAATGGGATAACCAGGAAGAAAAGGCACTGAGGAAATTAATAAAATGCTTATTGCTGAGCACAAAGGAAAAGGTAATCTTTGCCAAACCAGACAATCCTATAAATTAAGGAGCCAATCCTGCTGTCATTACTCAGGAAGAACTCCCATTGACACTTGCCTGAGGAAGGATTGTTAGATAAGGCCCCAAAGAAGAAAAAGACGTGTGAGGTCACCTCCTTCCATCCCACTAAATCAGTTCAGGATTATTCCCTACAGTATAGATATTTGCAAGCGCAACACTTCCTAGGCAAAAATAAGTCACAATCCAATCGATCTTGCCATGAAGAAATTATTGCTGCTTTATACAGCCTAAATAATTGTGTTCACTTTATAAACCATTGTTCCTGGTTATCTCCCTTCTAAAAAATGTCTCCCCTTTCTTAATATTTCACCATGTCATATATAGATAGTATCTCCCTCCTTAATCATCCCTTAGTGAAGCAAGATGCAGCAGGCCTGATTCTTCTTTACAGTAAGGCGCCTTTACACCACTCTGGTAGCATAAAGGGGCCTTGTACAGCCAAAGTGATGCAAAAGGGCCATAGCGTAAATAAAAATCAGACTCATTTTAATTCTTTGACTTCATTAGCTCTGGAATCATAACAGGTAAAATACTGTATTTTATGTTGCACTTTTCAGATGAGTGAAAAAGGTGACTATCGCATATTTTGTGTTTTGTACTCAGATCTATAGCCTCCCAGGAACAAACGGTGACTATGTCCAGCAAACTGTGACTATTAGCAATGAACTTCATATTGCTGATATCCATATCCATGCTGGGTTGTGCTCCTCTGATACCATTTTTGACTACAAACATGTAAGTGAAACCAAGAATCTGTCTTGGCTTAAAATCATTTCAATGTTTTTTTTTCTTTTTAAACACAGTAAACTAGCTTGATATCTCTTCTTCCTCCTTGTGAATAATCCTTAAACAATGTCTATTTTAATCATCCATCTCTTTGGTTTCTTCATATGTCTATGCAATGCAACAGAAATACAAAACGAAGAAAAGATAAAGTTTGCCCTAGAACTGTACATAGACATAAACAAGGAGATATAAATTCTGTTCCTAGTTACAATGGTGTGACTGCAGAGTAACTCCATTACTTCACTCTGCATTTACACCGTTGTAGCTCAGAGCAAAATTTTGGCCCAGCATACAAAGAGAAGATTAACAACTGGGTGGCAGTAGCTATTTTCAAATTAGAAACCTGCTTTTCTATATCACAGGGATACATTGCTACCAGGCTGTTTTCACGGAGGGCCTGCTTTATCTTGAAAATGGAGAAAGTATATATCCCAGAGCTGAAAGAAATTGGACGGCTTGCTTACGAGAAACAGGTAATTCTCTGAAGTATTATGTACTATATACAAGCAAGTCATGTTAGAGAGGTGGTGTGATGGAAATAAAGGGTACTGCCATCTGGAATACTCTTTGTTCTTAGAAGTCTTTCTTATTAGACTGGTGATAACAAAACAGAGACTTTGATACTACAGTGATGCACTCACTAAAGATAATTGTGCCTGCAAAACTGAACATCTGGCCATCAGTTTACTTGGGCCAACCCATGAAGTTCCTATACAGGCAAAACTTTCACTGAAATCAATAGGGATTTTGCTTGAGTGGGAATTTCAGAATTCAGCCTCTTTTTGGCAGGTGAACAGTAACTTATTCATAGCAAAATTACTTAATATAGTTATAATAACTGTACAGATTAGGAGGGTGAACATGGAAAACAAAGTGAAAGCTGCCAAAGTGTAAAACTATATAGCTGTTCTATATTATTATTAATCATTATGAAGTGTTTGATTAACGCAGTTCATTTTTGCTATGTGTATACAATTGCTCTTCAGTGAACTTTGTGACTATTTCCTTCTTTGTAATTAACAATCTGTTACTTCTTTAGATGATGCTTTGTATGTGGCTAGAGAAAATTTGTGAGAGGTGGATGGGTTTTCTCACAAGGATGTTACAGAAGATTAAGGAATAAGATGTATTGCTAACTATATTTTAATATTTTCTCCTTTAAGATGATGAACAAGATGTTTTCCCCAAAACACCTGTGGGTGCAATATGAACCCAGTGATTCTATATTTGGTGAAATCAAGGAGTGGTTGATCTTTGGTAAACCCATTGAGAAACTCTGCAAAGGTGTGCCTGTTTACAAGGTTCGCAAGGTTGAAGGTGGGTAACAAGACTGAAACCAAATTCTTTAGAAGGCGCTGAGTCTTAAAGAAGCTAATTTTCCTAGTTCTATCTCTGGTTCTGATCTGAGCCATAGTTCCTGAGCACCTCACAATCTTTAGCATATTTCCTTGGGATCTAGAGCAGTGTTAATATCCCCCATTTTATCGATTGGTAACCAAGGCAGAGAAAGGCTAAGGGCGGAATGCTCAAAATGAGTTAGGATAACTCCTTTTGAGCATCCTCCCTTAAGTGATTTGCCCAAGGTCACACAGGAAGTCTCTGGCGGAGCAGGAATTAAACCAGGTCTCCCAAGTTCAAGGTTAATACCCTAATCACTGTACTGTCCTCCCTCTCTTGCTGAATATAAAATGACAGCTTGGGCTCATCTGTGCTAAAGCAATTCTGCATTCCACAATTTAGTAGCGAGATGGATTTGCTGGAGTGGTGGCCCAGGATCTGTCTTGCAAAGCAGACAAAGGTAGCACTTTCTGGAGCCCCTATTGCTGGTCCTCCATTACACCCTGCTGCTGGCATAGAGGGTGTGGCCATGGGAAGGGGGAGGGAGCCAAGATTCTTTTGTTCTCTAATGATCCCCTGCCATTTTAATGGCTATAGTAGGTCTAACTTATGCCAGAGCACTAGTTTGACACATGGCTGGCCCAGGACCAAAAGCACAGAAAGGTGGCTCAAAGCCACATTTGCATGTCCCCCATTTGAGTTGCACCATAAGAGTGTGATCCAACTCCCTAACTGACAATCAGGTCCTGTTCCTGTACTTTTTCTTTTTTTTTTTGCTTGATTTTGGAGAATTGTCATTGAAAATATATTTTGTGTCCTTGTTTCCTGTTTAGGTGCCATAAGAGCTGGTGGCTGTGCTAAGGCAGGAATCCTGGGCATTTTGGGCATTTCAATCTGCGGAAAGATCAGTGTTTAGACATAACCCTGGCAGTGCCATTGCTTCGAATGAGCTTATTATTTTCCAGGGGCTTTTATTCTTTGTAAGCCATGAGCAACGTTATTAATTTGGGATCAATCTCATTGTTCCACATAATCAGCCTCTCTCGCAAACTATGATCTACCAATAAAAGAATGAAACATTCCACCTGCCTTGGTTTTCTTTTGCAAAACAAGCAGCACACAACTAAATGAATCCCCTCTCTTCTTATTTTTGTGTTTGTATGCTTCCCTCCAAAGCAAAATAAAGCTGTACTTGTTCCATTCATCTGTTCAGCATGCAATGTGACATACATAATATGGGCTCAACCTTGCAGGGTTTTTTACAAACAAAACTCCCCAGTGAAGTCAGCACCTAGATACGTCAGTGACTAGCACTCCATAAATGTGATGGCTAGGGATAGATAGATAGATAGATAGATAGATGTCATCCAAACTAGCAGCCACATCTTTAATACTTCAGAACTCCTTTTAGGGTGTTTTATTTAAACGTTACTTTTAGAGATGGGTCTGAACCAAAACCCCAGACCTTAACATTCTCAAACTTTGAGAAAGTTTAGATCTGGAAGTTTACATTCAGCCCCTATCTTTATTGTGAGATGAACCAAACATTGAATGTGAACACCATCCCAACTTGGGAAAAGTTTGGATGGGACACTTTGTTTTGCAGTGCATTTCAGGTTCCTCACTGACTTAGACTGCAGTTTTCAAAGGGGCCTAGGTCAAATGGAATTGGCTACCTAAATTACTTACAGCATTTGAAATCTCACCATCATTTATCATCTTTATTATTATTAATAATAATTGTTTGTGTTGTAGTAGCAACTAGGACCCTAGGCAAGGACTAGGTGCTGGGTGCTGTACAAACACAGAACAAAAAGATATGTGCCCCAAAAAGCTTACTTCCCGGATTCCCTTTCCTCAGCACCAATTATAAAAGCTGTGCCAATTGCTAAAGGCACTTCACATGTTTTCCCAGAGGGCAGCTTGCAAGGGGAACTGAATGAGGCAAGGTAGCATAGCATAGCTGCAGCCCTGTCTCTTAGATTTCAGTGCGGGAATTAATGTTTGGGAGGAATGTATATTTTAGAGTTGGAAAATGCAGCCTACTGAGCCTTGAAGGACTGCCAGTGAGCAGAGCATACTTATGAGTCCAGGGAATTGGATAATTTCCTAACCTAGTTATTTTCAAATCTGGCTGCTTATCAAACCATCTGTCACTTATTAAAGGAGCATTTTATCTTCTTATGATGAAACTGTTCTGTTAGACAAATTAATCCTATTCACAACAGGCTGCAGGTCTTTGGTGATCCGGAAAAATGTACCTGGAGGGTTCAAGGCTGGCAATTAAATCTAGGAATATTTGTGTGTGTGTCTCCAAGAGATAGGATTTTGGATTTAATAATATTTTACTGTGAACTCAGTGCTGGTGAAAAGTGCAGGATTGACAGTCTTGGAGTGCAAGGTCCTCTATTGATCCACAGAAGAGGTACAGCCTGAGAAAACTTCCCCGTCTTGTCCTGCCAAAGTGCATCAACATTGCTTTGAAAGTACCACCTAACAGGCTGAGAAGATAGTTCATTCTCCACTCACGCTTTCGGCTGTCTCCTGAATTTGCCATCAAGAGGAGCAATTCAGTTGGTGGGATTTGTAATGTGGATAGCTGTACTTCAGAAACTGGCCTGGGACCGGTGTTGGGTGAGAAATGGTCTTTCCGCCCTATGACAATTTTCCAAGATTTTGAAAAAATTTCCTACCCCAAATCAGGACAAAAAGTACAAATCTTGAAAATTGTCATGAACTGACAAAACAAAAACAAACAAACAAACAAACAAAACAGTTCAGGTTAATTGAAACATTTTTCTTAGATAAATTCTAAATGTTTTATTTCAATTTTGAACTTTTAAAACCCTTTTTTTGTCTACATTTGCTAAAATTTGTAACTGAAAAGTCACTTCAACGCAAAAAACTGAAACTTTTCATTTCAAAAGTCAAAACTTTTCATTTCAACAATTTTGAAACTTTTTTTGCCAAAAAAATTTCAAATTGGGAGATTCATCGAAACTGTCCCTATTTCACAAACAGTTTTGTTGTTGACAAATAGGCATTTTTCAGTAAGAAATGTTTCAGTGGAAAATTCTCAACCATCTCTAACTGGGACCTTCCACTAGTTTTACACAGGCCACGAAACTGCCTCTAAATGTTAATTATATGTGTTTATCACCACTGACACAGACTGTCTTTGAACTGATAATGTAGATGTGAAAGTCCACTACATATTCCCAAGTCCTTGAGCCATCCAGTCACCTAAAGACATAGAAACTGGTTGTCTCTATTAATTTAGGCTTTATTACACTGGATCTTCAATCTATAAGTCTCTGGTTATGTTGCTCAGGTTTCAAATCTGTTATGGTGCTAAAACTGAAAAAAGCCCTTAGGGAACTATCCTGCACAGTCCCCTAAGATATGTGCTGGATGCACAAAAATGATAGATAGATAGATAGATAGATAGATAGATAGATAGATATTAGTCTAGGATTATTATTTAATAAAAAAGTGTTTTAAAATAATTAATTTGCATTTATCTGGTTATCTTAATCTGAATTTGACTGTATAACTGGGTTTGTATTTTTACTGCCTGTATTTTTACTCCCTTTAAGACTCCCAGGCTGTTACAACTGGCAAACCCACTACTGCTGGAAGGCTAGTGATGTGAAAGTGAAAGGGCTGTGGGCTGCTGCAGTTCTCCTAACAAAACAACATCAAACCTTTGTTTGTGGCTGTCCTTGGATTTAGGTCTATATCAATACACAGGTCCTCTCTCATTATACTTCAATATTTTGCCAATATTTTTGCAGCAAGGCAGAGAACGAAAAGCAGAATAAGGCAGCAGTGTGGGGCATGACACTAACTTGGTGTTTTAACTTCCAGCCAATATCCTTTTTATTAAACTCTGAGAGGAAAAAGGGAGAGTCAGGCACAATCCCTTTCATGAAAGCACTTTATTTAACAGTTGGAGGCCAGACTTGAAATCAAACAATGGAACGTCTGAAATGGTGTATTTCTAAAAATAGAACAAAAGAGACAGATAAGGTGAAGAGAGAATAAAAAACCAAAACCATGGGGATCCTGAATGATGACCAACAGTTAAGCTTAGCAACCTGAGATGTTGCCACACAGGTAAATGCCCAACAAGCCCAGAATTCCAGAATCAGCACAGCCTTGAAACTCAAACAATAGGGCTCCTCCTTTAAGGGAAAAAGAAAAGATGAGAGATGGTTAGAATATAACGAGATACTTCAGAGATCAATTAATTATACTGCTTAGTGAGAACGTTGCTTCTGACAGCAGCTGAACAATGCCCTAGAAATACACGTTTCTCTAGCCCATTACCAATCTCATCCAGTCCCCATTGAATGCAATAATCTACATTCTCCTTTTTCATGCATTATCATGTTCTAAACACTCAGGCAAAAGTGCTCACCCTGATCCTGTTGTGCGTAGTACGTAGGGACTCCTTTACAGAGTATGTTAATGGACCTTCCGAACTGGGCAACATTCCTGATGCGGGTCTTGGTGATCGAAAATCTCAGGAAAGGTGGTGGTGGCATACTCTTGGCTGGCTATATCATAGCAGAATGTGCACAATGCAATCGATAGGCATCCTTAAGATATGTGTGAGTGTTCATTTGTGTCATCTGGATGTCTGGCCTTGACCCAGGAAAGCATCTTTACGACAGAGGGTTGAAAATGTTCGATCAAAATTGCTTTCTGGCTGAAAACTGAGTTTTGGACTCAACAAAATTTTTCATGAAAAGCATCTGCTTTCTGCCAAAAAAATTTGGCATTTTGCTTAAAAATTGAACACCTGAAAACTGAAAGCTTTTGGCTGAAAGCCAAAAACATTTTACCCCGAAACCAAAAGGTTTTGGACAACATTTTTCAGTTTTGGTTTTTCAAAAAAAGTTGAAATTCTCGACAAAAAAGAAACCAATTTTCCATCCAGCTCTAACCTTTGTGCAGATCAGTACTTATGGCTGTCATTAATTTTAAGCACATGTTTAAGTCTCCTTGGAGCCAATTTACCAATACTTTTGTGACTTCTGAATAGAATTTTGCATGATTTTACTCACAACTGTTCTCATTTTTGTTTTGTGAGCAATTGAGTAAGTGGAGATTTGTCTGTATCAAAACAAATTTTGCCACACGGTGACTGACCCCTTTAAAGGAAAATAGAGTCAGCCCCATCTGTACCATAATTAACTGCATCCCGGCCTGAATGGGCAGGACTAACGGGGTCTGGTGTTCATATGGTCAACACTTGGACCTCATAATAAAAAGCCTTAAGGGAATCAAGTCAGGAGCTGGCTGTGGAGGAAAGTAGTCAGGCTGGGTTGTAGCTGGAGACCTGAGCCACAGGAGTGGCACTAACTCCTGAAACAAGAAACCCCGCTCCAAGGTGCCAGTCCTGGGGGTGATACTCCGCAATAGCAACAGGGAGCTGGAAAAGAGCCCAAGAGGGTCAAGAGACCCAGGCCTGGAGAGGGGCAGAAGAAACTTTTCACGGATGTAAGTGAGAGAAGACTCAGGCCCAATATATGGAATACAATACCACATCAACACAGATTGCCATGCTTTTCTGTCCCATTGAGCATTTTAGAGAGAGTGGACGTGATTCTCCCCTCTTTTACACCAGTTTTAAACTGATGCGACTTCACTGAATTTAAGAGCTATGGACTCAACCTTTCTCCCGCTGATACCAGTGGCAAAACTCCCATTGATTTCAGTAGGAGCTGGATTGTGCCCTGTTTCTAAAAGAGTTTGTTTTGACTAACATTTCCTCATATGTATTGACCTCTCTCACCTTCTGGTCCTTGAACTTGCTGAGTTTCTCCAGACTTGGGAATGCATCTTTATTCATCTTTGCAACAATGTAAGCCCTCTTGTTGAACAGCCTGGTAGCAAAAAGTTCCTTTAAAGCAAAGAAGAAACTGCTGACATGTATATTACATAACATCGATGTGAATGATTACTTATCTGATTCTGTGTAGCACCTTTTAACTAAAACATTGCTTCTGTGACAAAAGTGCTGTATCTTTTTTGCCTTAATCGCCTTCTGTTGTACTCTGTGCTCCTTTATGTCTATGTATGAACCAAATTTCATGGAGCCAAAAGATTCCAAAATTCTTTCCAAATGGATATGCCAACTATATGGAAATTATTTCACCTGCCATTAAAATGTAGCCATCACTGGAATAAAATAAAATGGGTCTTTTATTATAATAGCAACACTACAATAGCAGTTTAGGACAGGAAACAAATAAGAATACTACATCTAACCGAATTAAAGAAAAAGGGAATTATCCCACTTGGAATTTTAATGTAAAAACAAATGCCATGGGCTCTTTAATAACTCCAAGTGGTCGGAACCTCAATTTTATAGCTGATCTGAAAGTTGCACGTAATTCTCCAGGAATTCATTGTGATGGAATATATTTTTGCAGATTTTTTAATTTATTGTTAACAACTTGTCTACATTAGAAGGTTGTACCAGAATAGTTAACATGACAAAATCCTTGTGTGGACATAGTTATATTGCTATAAAGGGGCTTTATACCAGTACAGCTATTTGTGTACAGGAAGAGGAATAAGCCATCCCAGTATATGGCACCTTTATACTGGGATAGCTGTTTCCACGCAAGGGTGGTAATGATATAACTATTTTGGTTGAAAAAAAATCACACCCCGACAGAAATAGTTATACTGGTACAAAACGTCCAACCGACATGACTTGCATGTGTGCAACGTGCTGTCAGACTGAAAACAACTTTGGATTAGACTGTGCAAAGCCTGGGCATGTCCATGCAAGGGCTGATCAACCTCGGGCCCAAAGGATATAAAGCACAGATGTGTAAAATAAGGGGTGAAATGCTGATCTAGGGAAAACTGCATCCTTACATTTCAGGAGCCTGATCCAGAGCCCACTGATGTCCATGAGAATGTTTACATCGCCTTAAGTGGACTTTGGGTGAGGCCCCAGAACAATAACTGATTAATAGCTGGGGTCAGGAATACATTTCTCCTTGCATGTAGTAATTGACAAGTGGCTCCTATAGGTGAAGGAGGAGTAGGGGGTAAACCTCTGTCCATTCCAATATGTCAGTTGTGGTATATAGAGAGCAGCATGATACTGTGGATATGGCAATGCACCTGGAGTTCGCAATCCCAAATCCCACTGAAGTAGATGGGGATTTTGCCACACGCTTCAATGGAGCCAGGATTTCACCCCTGGGTTCCATCCTGGCTCTGCCACTGATTTTGCTTTGTGACCTTGAGCAAGTCACTTTCCCGCGCTGTGCCTTGGTTTCCCCATCAGTAAAACAGGGATAATGACATTTCCTTTCCATTTGCAGATCACTTTGGATGACAAGTGAGGTAAGCTCTCCATGTAATTATTAATACCCATGTTCTTAGTGTATCCTGACCTTGCTGTAGTCCCAGACTGCATCCCAAACCTTCCAACCATTGTAGCTGTTGATATCGGCAGTGTGGTCTTGGTTGCTGACGTTCACGTTCTGGTGGCTGTTTCCACCATTGTTTCCTTCGTTGTTTTCATTGACCGACTAAATGAAACAGAACGGCATGAATAAGAATGATACAGGTTCACTGCAGTCTCACCCAGGGCAAAACCCACTGGATTTCAATGGGAATTTGGTCTGAGTAAGGATTTTGGAACCTCATTAATAGAGTAAATATTGGGTCAAATGCTCCTGTATCACAAATTGAAATGAGTATCACAGGGGTAGCCGTGTTAGTCTGGATCTGTAAAAGCAGCAAAGAGTCCTGTGGCACCTTATAGACGAACAGACGTATTGGAGCATAAGCTTTCGTGGGTGAATACCCACTTCTTCAGATGCATGAGATGCAGCCAGTTGAAATGAGTGGGTCTTGTCGGCATAACTGTGTGAAGAATTTGGTCAGCTCTGCATAAGATTCTTTGCTCAACCTGTAGGTATCATCCATTAATATTAATGGGAATTATATTCATTCACTAAGGGTCAAATCCTCAGCCATGCCTGAATTGCTGGACATGGGGGGTGGGAAAGAAGCCTCTTCCCAAGCCACGAAGTAGCTGTGAGACGCAATGTATCAATCCGTTTCCCCATGCCCCACCATGCAGGAGCAACCACTATAAAATCCTCAGTCTTTGTGCATTCCCTTTTCTCCATCCTCTGCATTCTGCTGGACAGGGGGTCCCTGCAGAGGAGGCAGGGGTTGTTCCATGCTGGTGCCTGGTCTGTACCTCATCTCTTTGGGGTGACAGAAGCATGATGATGATGATGCTGTCAAGGGGCCTTTCATGGCCCTGGAAAAGATAGCAGTATTTACCTCTCCCTGCCAAATAATAGGTCAGTATGTGCCTCGGACACTTCATATTGTAATTTTAGGGGGAGGAAAGCCAGACCATAAATGAATACAAAGTACTTTAGATAACAGCAGGAAAACCTGCAGAGTCTCTAGGGAGCTGCCTATCAATTTGAATACTGCAGCACTGATTAAATCCCGTTGCACAAGATGAGTACTTTAGGTCAGATTCTAATCTCACATGTACCAGTGTGAATCTGGAGTGACTCTGCTCCAGTGTGTTTACTCCAGATTTACACCAGCATAAACATGATCAAAATTTGTCCATTTACTCTTCGGCTTGTCTTTTCTAGATCAGAAGTATATTGTGGACTTGGCCCATTTCATGTTTTTTATTGTTTAAATATTGATTTTACTACTTGTTTCGATAAGCCCTGAACACAGAAAAGTACTTGCATCCACTTACATCGTCGGCCAGGGCCTGAGTCAGGCAGACTCCCAGGAGAGCACCAATGATTATCTGAAACAGAGACAAGTCATGCAAAGTAAAGCCATGGAATTTCTACACATTATGCAGCATCTCATAGACCATCACAAAGCAAAGAGTTCTTTCAAAATGACTCTAAGCTTGCTCTAATGTTGGAAGTGTTCGAGAGTAATACACATTCACATGGCTAAATAACCAGCTTTTAGAAATAATTAAGGGTGAAATTTGTCCCTGTGCAGAGAGACAGCAAAAGGCCTATGTATTGCTGAAATCTTATTTATGCATTATTGTGAGGGCTTAAGTGGTGTATGGAACTTGTGAAGAATGTATGTCACCAGTAAGGCGATATTTTCAGAAGTTGTCTCTAATTTGGCTGCTTCCCTTTTTTAACATCTGGTCAGATGCTCAAATTGGACATTCAAAATTATTTATTATTTGTATTACAGTAGCGCATTAGGACCTCAATGTGGTAGGTCCTGTACAGGCTTATAGTGAGAGACAGTCCCTGTCCCAAAGAGGTTTAAGTCTTAGTAAGGGAGGCATCCAAAATTAGAGACCAGTTTTGAAACACTGAACCTTAGCAAGTCTACATTCTTAAGGCCAGCTCCTCAGCTGGTGTATATCTGCAAAGTTCCACTGAATCCAAAGCATGAGATTCTGGTCCCACTGAAGTCAGTGGGAATTTTGCGTCAATGTCAGTGGGGCTAGGATTTCATCTAAAGACTGGCTGTGCAAACCGATCAGAAGTCAAGCAGACCCGGCTGTCTGAAAGTTCCCCTTGCATAAGGGGACTCCATGGATGATGTACAGCTGTGGTACTAGTTCAATGCACCCCTGTGTATTCCCTGGCATAGGGATGATGGTGAGGAAGAGTGATGTGGCCAGAACTCCCTCCACTTCAGAGTTTCCTACGTGTCACAATGGTCCATTAAAGCCATAGAAACTAGTATACATTAGAGCAGCCCTGAGGTTGCTCTAAACTGGAGTGAGGAGTTGGGGACTAAACTGTCCCTAGCCAGCAGTGCAAGCTGCAAAAGTATCATAAAGCAACTTTTACTTCCCACTTCTCACCCTTCTTTGGCCCTGAAATGATCAGAGGATCAGGTCCTATTTCCATGTTTTTCTCTTTTCTGTTCCTCTTTCTTTTTAACATAGACTCAGACATAAACTAACATAATAATTACAATAGAATTAACAATTCCTGCAACCCAAGCATAAAAATTTAATATATATATATATATATATATATATATATACAATATAAAATAAAACAGAAGTATCATGTTACAATATTCATAACATTGGAATAATGTTGCAATACATTTGAATATATATTTGAATAACTGATACATTCACTTCATTCTCAGTATATATCCCATTAGTGTTTTTTTAATTATTACTGTGTGGTTATTCAATGTGGGCATCCAGGGAGGCATAAGGGCCAAATCTACCTACCGCTGAAATGGAGGGAAAAACACCGGTTGACTCTTGTAGAACCAGGGTGAGGCCCAAGCAGTATAAATTCATAGCAGCATCCACGTCCATCTAAAAGCTGACTCTGATCTCACACTGGTTCCACTGCCTTCAGTACAGTTACTCCAGATGTGTGAATCTAAACTCTTGTTGAGGAATTGTTTTGGGGAAGGAAGTTCTCTGGCCTGTGTTTATGCAGGAGCTCAAACTAGATGATCACTGTGGTCCCTTCTGACTTTGGAATCTATGATCAATGCACCCATGAGGACATCAGTGACAAGCTGCGTGTAAAGGAGATCAGTCAGACATGCCGATTCTTAGGGAATGAGGTTTGGATGGCTCAAGTATTGTTAATGGAACACAGAACCCTTCACTTCCAAAGGATCTGATCCTTCGCAGCTTCACTCAGGTCAGAAATGATCACTCATAAGAATAATCTCATTGACTTTATGAGTGAGGATTACTCACGACACTAAATCTTGCAGAAACCTGCCATTACCAGTTCAAATCCAGTCTTGTTTCAGGGTTCTATGTGAAATCAGCTGACAGTCCAGTTCCTAGAGGACAGGCATCTATATTGCATAAATAACCACCACAGCTGCTACCGTGGGCACCTTTGTTGGAAGTGTCAACATAGCACCTAAGTACTGAATGCACCAGGAGGCTGAACTGTTTGCCCCTGATGGTTCTGAGATACTAACTACCCATCTCAGATGATCATTCCCAGTTACGTTTGAGGCCCATTGGGAGGACAATGGAGGGGAAGCTTGTTTTGCTTCTGCACCTGCTCTAGAGATAACCAGATGACTTCAGTCTCTGCTAGTGTTCTCGGGGCTGCACCTTTTAAATTTACTACAAATATACTTTAATAAAATAGACTTTACAAATCCCGCGGGCTGATTAGAGCTAGATGGCCTGCATTGTAATGCCGTAAAAAAGCAGAGCAATTCCTTTACAATAATAATTTAATAGCCATCATAGCGAAGGTAGAAAACACCCATGAGTAACCTAATACCCATCACACTAAAGGTAGAAAATATACTTACTAGGGTCTTACATAGGCAAATCTCTGTTAGAAATTAGTGGCTTGAGTAAAGTGAGTAAAGATGTGGCCTATTGACTTCAATGGGAGCAGAGGGTATGTAGCACCTTGTAGGAGTCAGTCAGTACTTTTTGCAAGTTCAGGCCTATATAGCACTTTTCATCTTCAAAATGCTTCCCAAACGGTGTTGATGATGATCATAATTTATTACTGCAGTGCCTAAGGACCAATCCAGCCCATTGGGTTAGACCTTGTAAACCTGGTCCCTGCCTCAAAGAGCTTACAACCTAAACAGACAAGATGGCCACGGTGTGCGGCAAAGGGATATAACACACAAGCAGAGTGCAAATCTCATGTTAGTTCTATGTTTTGGGGGGAGTGGGTTTACTTAGGAAGGGATAGGCTTTAACTCTGTGCTCACAACACCCAGGGGATTCATATAAGTGCACACAGTTATCCCCATCTATGCGATGGGGAAACTGAGGCAGGGAGATTAAGTGATTTTACCAAGTCTTTAGAGGAAGTCAGTGTCAGAGCTGGGATTAAAACTCAGGAGTTCCTAGTTCTATTTTCAGCCCAATACATCATGCCTCTCTCTCTCTCTGGCTTAAATTTCTCCGTCTAATCATACTAAAATGAAAAGGGACACATTTTCATGGTGGGAGGGATACAGAGCCACTGCCCCCACCTTTTTAGAAGTGCCCCTCACAGAATCATGAATGGCAGAGGCCGACGAATAGCTTCCAGTTATAAGTAAACCAATGCAGTGCCGTGCAAGAAGATGCAGGCAGTGCAATGCACCATTGTTCATATATACCGTGTCCTGAGATGCTTTGCTGGATGGATCTGCTCTAAGCTGCAAGCTGAACGTTTTTGTTCGCACAGAGGGAGGCAAGATGTTTGTAGTGCTCAGAAAGAATGTCTAGAGCGTGCGTGGTGCTGAAAGCCCTGAGAGCAATGGGCCGACCTGGGGAACGTCAGGGTGGAAATGGAATGATTGGAAGAGTGTTTCCCTTCAGCATATCTCCCCTGGATCAGAAGAGAAGTGAAGGAACAAGGTGGGAAGATTGTTAACGAGTGCTATCTCCTCTCTCTGGAGCATTGTAGTGAGAGAAGCGCCTGACCTCTGCTCCCCAGCTATCTCGCTGGGGAGTTCCCCTGCCGCCTCAGTATGGCTTTGTTCATTACTCTTCAGATTTTTTTTTCCTGAACTTTAAAATTACAGCAAGCAGTATCAATGACATTGCTTTGAAAGGTGCAAGGCCAAATTCACCGTCGGCTACGGTGCAAGCAGCATGACTGAAGTGAGTGGGGCATGAATCACTGCTGGCCTAGGCGGTCACAGCTCTGGTGAAGGCAGGGGAGCCAAATTTAGTGAGTGAGGTCCAGATCTGCAGAAGTATTTAGGCTCCTAACTTGCCTGTGGATCTCGATCAGTGGAGGTTGTTCCTCCTGACACCAGGGCTTCCGCCCTCCCACTTCCTGGATCCCAGTAGGACCAGGGCTGAATTTGGTTCAATTGAGCTGTGCCTGGTTATCCCAGCAGAGAATTTGACTCACCACAGCTGTTAATTACTGGTCAGACACTAGACTGGACTCTGTCTACCTGTGTTTTAATAGTGCGCTCATCTCTGCCCCCTCTGGATGCCGAGCAGGGTCTTTCACAGAGTAGTCAGAATTGCTGCGCATTCTGCATATTGTCACAGCCAAGACTTGAACCAGGCTGCCTCGAGGTGTCATCTCTGCCTGCAGATCCCTGGTGCAGGATCAGGGTTCAAGACAGTAAGAGCTGTGCTAATCTCACTGCATCTGACAGCTGCTCTTGCCTGCTCTTGTCCTGGAGGAGACAATGCAAGTGATAGTGGGATTATGAGAGACCCAGCAGGAAACTGAAATAGTGCAAACCCATTGTTATAATTTTAACATGAAATGTTATTGCTTTTGTTTAAAAAAATGGATTTACAGCACAGCTGATAATGTGTGCACAATCACACTGCACATCTGAATAAGTGACTTATCTCCCATATGTTGCAATTCACAAGTGCCCGCCGGAGAGCAGATACATATTCCCGAAGGGCTTGGTCCTGCTTTTCTTTCTCCTATTAATGGGAGTTTTGCCTGAATGAGAAGTTCAGGAGTAGACCTAAATCAGACCATGACATAGATATTGTTATGCCGGGCAACAGAAGCTCAGGCCCTCTGTTATAGCCAAGGAACAGACAGAGCTACTCAGAGCACAAGTGCAAAGATGGCATCAAATTTACCTTTGCACTCCCCTGATGCCGGGAACTAAACTAAATAGAAGGAAGCATTATTATCCCAATTGTATAGAGGGAGAACAATGGCACAAAGTCTCAAAGGTAGTTAGGTGCCTCGCTCCCATTAAAACCAAGATCCTTTGAGGATCTAGGCCACTGAGATTGAAGCAACTTGCTACCAGTTGATGGTGTGTCTCTGACAGAGCCATGAACTGAATCTAGATCTGCTGAGCCCTCATCTAGTGCCCTAACAAGACAATCTTTCCTCTGGACATTAAATGTACTTTTCTTCATAAAAATGGCAAACTCAAAAGTAGGGGGGTTTATCATCTGAGAAAGCAATACTGCCCAATTAAATATTAACAAGCCTTTAGTGTACATTGTCTATTAGTTTTGAAGGCAGTGCTGTATATGCTGTAGATTTGTGTTTGGAACTCACGCAAACGGTGAAACAAAGAGCTTCAGTGGAAAGCTCCTAGATACATTATCATGCTACCGTGTGGTTTGGCTGGAGAGAGGAGGGATAAAGTGTTCTGCGTTCTGCCCCGTTTGTACTCAAACATGGAAGGAATTTGATCCAACTTTTCTTGATCTCTTATTTGAAGCTTAAATAACATCCATCAGACCTGTTGGAGACGTATTTGGGTTTGTGTTTAAGTGTGTTATTGTCTGAAAAGTGATGTCGTAGAGTCATATTTATCAATGTCAGCCACCTTCCAATTGAATTTGCTGGGGTTACTGGTCAAAAGATAGGTTTCAGAGTAACAGCCGTGTTAGTCTGTATTCGCAAAAAGAAAAGGAGTACTTGTGGCACCTTAGAGACTAACCAATTTATTTGAGCATAAGCTTTCGTGAGCTACAGCTCACTTCATCGGCATCCGATGAAGTGAGCTGTAGCTCACGAAAGCTTATGCTCAAATAAATTGGTTAGTCTCTAAGATGCCACAAGTACTCCTTTTCTTTTTGGTCAAAAGATGATTTTTCTAATAGCCAGTGCTCCAAATTTTGCCAGAAAGCTGAGGGGCAGGCCCTCAGCGGAGGAAAATCAGTGTAGTTCTGTTGAAGTCAATGGAGTGACACAGATTTACACCCATTTAAGATTCTGGCCTCGAAACTCCAGCTGGGCTATTTCTGCCTCTAACCCCAATAGCAGTCAGAGAGATTCTGCAACCAGAACTTAGCGGACAATTTGTGGATGACGCATGAGCCAGAGTAGAATCCAGCTCCCTCTCCTGTAGCTGAATTGTGTCTGAGGAGTTAAAGCTCACTTATCCCTAGTGAGGCATTTGACCTCACGAGCGCATAGAGCAGAACTGCATCTCCCCAGGTAAAGCTAAGCATGAGAGGCATTTATCTGAGACAAAGAATGACTGTGAATCCGTTTCATCATCATACATCATTAACAGCAGGGGTTCTGAACCTTTCCCATGCCAGGTCCCCCTAAATCCCTCTTCCACAGAGATGGGACTCTCCACCTGTTTAGTAATATAGGCTGGGTAAGCTGATTGTGATCCCGTGGCAAGTCTTCCTGAGAACTCCCAATTAACAAGCACTCTGACCCTACATACAAACTTCAGGCCTAATCCTGTTGCCATTAGCAAAATTCCCATTGACTTCAAAGGGGAGCAAGGATCAGGCCCTAAATGGCTGCAGAGCAAAGCTGGGGAGAACCAAAACCTAGACAAATACAAGTGCACACCCAGCTGCAGTGTGAAACAAAGCAGACTTGCAAATACTGAAATAAATAAGATCCTTTTGATAGCTTATCAAGT